TAGATATCATTTATTTCCCTCGTTTTAGGTCATGCAGCAAAGTTGGCCCTGGTTGTTTTCTTCTTTTTCTTTCTTTTTTTTAAGATTAGAATTGTTCGTAACCCATTCGTTTTAAAATTCAGTTTTGTTCAACACTGGCGATTTGTTGTCAAAATGCATTCTCAGTAGACCTGTTTTCTATATAAACTGTTGCCTAGCATTGTCTTGGGGGATTAACGCATGCAGTTTTGAGTTTGTGTTCGTCTGTGTAAAACCCACCACGCGTTTTTCCAAACTAGTTTTATCATGATGGGATGGATTATCCTACTTTTCTTTTATTTTGTAAACCAGCGCAGAAACCCACTCGTGGAGTTCAGTTCAACGCTGTATGAGCATCATTACTTCCAACATTCTCTTGTGTATTGTATATTATGTCTTCAGATCAATCCAGTATTGTTAAACATTGATATGCAATTGTATGTTACTTTTTAAATAAAAGTTTCACAGCTTAATTAACCTTTCAGACGGCGTTTTGGCTGATAAGACTTTAACTAAGGGGTTTCCACCACACCTGAGATAGTAATTAAAGCATACACATGTAGTTGCATTACTACTTGACATTAATTTAACACTACCCCACCCACATTCAGTGAAATATAAGTATATATATATATTTATATAGTGTTTATGGTTTATATTTACTCTTGATTCCCACATATAGGTGTTCTTTCAGTTATTCCAGTACTTCAGAATAGCTGTAGCAGTTTGTTTGTACAGGGAACCTGTTCAGTACCTGGGTTCGATTGTGATAGGACTGAAATATCTCATTAGGATATCATCCTGCGATCTAGGTATGTAATCAACCTGTCTTCACTACGTACGTGTTGGTCAAGTATTGCAATTTTTCATAAATGGATTATATTTGTTCCTTAAGTTGTCTTTAATTGGTCTCCATCCATAAGTCAAGTGGACTTTTCATGAAATGGTGCGATGGAATTTGGGTTTGTAACAGCACGGCTTATTAGGCCCTTGACTTGATTTGCCATTAAAAGGATTTTTTTTTTTTTCTTGATCAAATTTTTGTTTTATCTTGCATGACTAACGTGTTCTCTTTTCTTCCTGTCTTCCTCCCCAGGCGACATTGGATGCCGGACTCTGCCCACATCAACTGTGGCCATGGAGTTTGGTTATCTACAGTAGTTTTGATTTTAATAATGAAGGATTGGTGAAGTGGTGATGACATGGGATTTTTAATGTCTTTTTCTAATCTGTTATTTTATAAATATCTGTATACATTTTAATAATAAAAAAAAGTTTTGTTGAAATGACTCTTTTTGTGTGTGTGGATTATGTGCATGGAATGAGTTTATTATTTTGGGTAAGTCTGTAGCGTTATGCAGGGATGGAGAGATTGAGGTTTAATTGGAGATGGATTTGTGCACATACAGACAGGTGGTCCAATAGATTAGGCAGGGGAGTTTGAAGCATCACTTGTAAATTTGGCCCACATAACATGAAAACTGCTTTCTACAGTAGCTACACAAATAGTACCAAGTGTTCGTGCATTGTGGTGTTGAGGCAGGCACTCAGATGATGGTGCATTTTAGACTAGTTTATACATTCTGGAGTATTTGCACTAAGAAAATTATGCTTGCAAATGCATTGGTGATGAAGCAATAAGGTGAGTACTTTACTGTTTTGTAAAGGTTCATGAATGTCAAACATTCACAAGTGTAATTTACAAGCAATAGCAGTACCAATCGTGTGGTAGCTATGTGATCTTATGTCTGATCTCTTCAATGTATGAATACCATACTTAAGCTTTGAAAGTAGTTATAATATATAGTAACAAAGTAGTAACTAATTTAAGACTTTCTAATATGCTGTATTTTCTGCATGTGATTATTTTACCACTCTTGCCATGGAGAAAGTCATCTTTTTTTTGTGCAAAAATCACTTGAGTCACAAAGTTCCACGTACAAAAATCATGCTTTATTGGTGGAAGCAACAAAGCTGAGACCTCTGCAGAACATCTCACTCGCAACTTATGAACCAATGATCTTACTGCAGGTGTACTCCTTTTCTCTCCCAGTCACCTTATTAATTGGCTAGCTTGTTTTAAATGGTGGCATCCTTTGAACTTTTAACAAAATATACTTTAATTGGATTAAGGAGTATACCTTCATGCAACAGGTGTGCATATGAACACAGTGAATGATGAAGTTGCACTGTTCTAGTTTGGCCTACAACCTGGTTGCCACAAAGCGATAAGACCGTGTAAGACATAAAGACCTAGTTCAGGCCTAAAGTTTCCTGAGTTTGTTTTCTAATAAAAATATATTATACTTTTTAGAATCACTGCAACACACTTGTGCATTGTGTAGAGTAGTTTTGCTCACCAAGATGCTAATGAACTGCCATCATAATATGGTAACCTGGCCAAAAACCTGTAAAATGTTTTTATTCCAGTGTTTTGAAACTAAGGCGAAGACAGGATTTTACTTTGTAATGGGAGTTTTTAAAGTTTATAGTTCTATTATCTTACTAGTTTGGAAATTTACGACTGGACACTTCCTCATTTAATCTCCATGCACTTTCTAGTCATTTGTGATGACTGCACATGGATTTAATAGAAATTGCACTCAAAAGATTATTTGCAGCCAAAGAAATACTACAATAAAGAGTATAACAAGAAAGTATATTTTAATATAGAAATGTTCATGGACTAGAAAATCACTTTTTTTTTTTTAATTCCCTGATATTTCTTGGATTCAGAATAGAACGGCATTTGCAACAAAATGTAGGCCTACCCGCTGTCAAGTTCACATATAACACATGAACTCGAAATGTCATCTTTCCAAAAATCTATATTTTTTTTAACTAAATGGATTGACAAATTAGCTTTGATTCTTTTAGTTGCAGCCACTGATCTATATAATAATTCTCTATTATAGGTCAGTGGTTGCTGCCCAGTGCCCAGAATGCGTCTTGCTAATTGAGGATGGGTTTGAGTCATACACATATAAATACCTAGACGCCTCATTGGCCGCTTTGAGCCGTTGCAGCGATACGTCAACGCGTCCGCCATGTTTGTGAGGGCAAGACTGCCTTAAAAATAAGTGGAGGTAAACGGAGGAGCTGCGGTTTTTTCTGGATAAAAACACGATAACGTTTACATTTATCAACCGATTTCAGAGGTTTGTGATCTACATGGAGTTAAAAATAACTGCCTCCAGTTATTTAGTTAGGCTTGGAAAATGATTAATTTTCGTAAGAAATTGTGAAAACACACTTGTCTCACTTGTTGATTTGATTGATTTTTTCGGTTTACAATTCTAATGTTCAACAATATGGCGGCGACGTTGACGTGCGGTCGAGCGGCCAATGAGGCGTCTAGGTATTTATTATGTCTATGGTTTGAGTGATGTGCTTTACTTTGCAGCCAATCAGAGTCCACTACGTATGTGTTGACGCACACATAAGGAACCGCCCCCGCGTTTCAAACACATTTGAGTTCTTCCTTCCGTTGCATGTGATCTCAGTACGTCCATTGTAAGAAAATGACGAACCAGCTTTGTAAACTGTTTGTTGGCGGCCTAAACGTCCAAACGACCGATGAAGGCTTGCGGGCACATTTTGAACAGTATGGACAGCTGACCGACTGCGTGGTGGTGATGAACCAGCCGCTGCAGCGCTCCCGGTGTTTCGGCTTTGTTACGTACTCGAGCGTTGAGGAAGCGGACGCCGCCATGGCTGGTAGGCCTCATGTCGTGGACGGCAACAACGTGGATCTGAAGCGAGCGGTGGCCCGGGAAGACGCTGGTAAACCAGAGGCACTCGCCAAGGTCAAGAAAATATTTGTCGGGGGACTGAAAGACGACATTGAGGACGAACACCTCCAAGAGTATTTCTCCCAGTTCGGTACGATCGAGAAGGCTCAGGTCATCACCGACAAAGACACCGGAAAAAAGCGAGGTTTCGGTTTCATTTACTTTGAAGACAACGACTCTGCCGATAAAGCCGTCGTGATGAAGTTCCACGTGATCATCGGACACAAGGTGGAGGTGAAGAAGGCGCTCACCAAGCAAGAGATGCAAGGTGCTGGCGGTCGCGGCGGCAGGGGAGGCCGAGGAATGGGCCGGGGAACCGGTTATGGCGGCGGAAGAGGTGGTTACTATGGCGACTACGGCTATCAGAACGGCGGATACGGTAACGATGGCAACTACGAAAGCCAAAGTAGCTACGGAGGAGGCTATAGTGACCAAATGGGCAGTGGATACGGCAACGGGAATGGCTACAGTGATTTCGGCGAGGGTTATGGACAGCAGCCTTCAGGTTATGGTGCTGTGAAAGCCGGCTATTCCAGCAGGATCAGTGGGCCCTACCCACGCGGTGGTGGTGGTGGCTATGGTGGCTATTAGAAGCACTAATGTGACTCTTTAAGCTGTACGTCACTTTTGATTTTATTTTTTTTGTATTTTATTTTTTATGCAAACTATTTGGACACTGGACTTTCAAAACGAAATGTTTGGTATTGGGTTTAAATGAGGAGTTCTGTGCCATTACCAGTACCAGCAGACACGCATCGCATTGTGTTTTCCTTTTGTTTGGGTTTAAGTGGTCATGTTTGCTCAAGTCAAGCCTGGTAAAACACCATGTAGGCTTCTGTTTGATTTGTTCTAGGTTAATTGCCTGTCCATTGTTTGAGATGAAACTCAGGGGTAATGAAATTTAAGCAGCTCATTGTTT